GAAAAACACTATGTCATTCCCCAAATTTTCTTTTCTTTTTCTTTTTTTTTAAACGGAGTCTCACTGCGTCGCCCAGGCTGCAGTGCAATGGCGCGATCTTGGTTCACTGCACCCTCCAATCCCACCTACGCCTCTCCCTGGGTTCAAGTGATTCTCCCACCTCAGCCTCCTGAGTAGCGGGGGTTACAGGCATGCACCACTATGCCTGGCTAATTTTTGTATTTTTAGTACAGACGGGATTTCACCATGTTGTCCAGGCCGGTCTTGAACTCCTGACCTCAAGTGATCCACCCGCCTCGGCCTCTCAAAGTGCTGGGATTATAGGCATGCGCCACCAAGGCTGTCCTGTAATTCCCCAAATTTTCTAAGGAAAACAGGAAATCTATGGATCTTGCTGTTCAAAGGCATGCAAAATGCAAAACAGAAAAGACATTTTACATTAGAATAACAGAGACTTTGGCTGTTATGCTTTTAACAGATATTTATAATACAGCACACTTCCCTTTTCTGATTTATTCATGCTCTAGAGCCAGACTTCTTGGCTTCAGCTTCAAATCTGTTGTGTGTCAGCTGTGTGTTTTTCCATAGGTTACATACCTCTCTGTGCTTCAGTTTCCTCCTGTGTGAAAGGGGATAGTTACAGCACCTACCTCAGAGGGCCACTGTGAGGATTAAATGCATTAATATCCTTGAGAGGCAGAGAACATTACCGGTTCATAGTAAGTGCTGTGTTAAGTGCTATCTACTATTATTACTGTTACCATTTTATTATTATTGAAATATTTCAATATGTCCATTTTACATCAAAAACAAGTGCAGGTCTCTTGTTCTTTGCCTGCATACCCCTGTCCCTGTCTTTGCCTGGCTAATCTCAGTTCAATCTGTAATAGAGAATAGTTAGAGCCATGTAAATGGACTGATGTGAATAGTAGAGTGATTAAATACTTTTGGTATATCTATACAATAAAATATGCGTATATTCATGCCATTTTTGAGTAATATTTAAATTTGTAATGACACAGAAGATTAAGTAACAATACGATATACTAGTTCATGAAAGAATATTAAGTACCAGTAATAAAATATGAAACTAGGTACAGAATGATAGGGCAATTTTAATTTTCTTATTTATGCGTCCCTACATTTTCTCAATTTTGT